AGAAACACCTGATGAGTTGGTAACCATGGGCAAAGAGAAGAGTGGCATAGCCACAAAGAAATCAACGATGCTTTCAACTTTATTTTTAATGCCACATATTGAGTTTAGCACTGAAGTCCTCCAGAGACAAACTTCTACTAAAATATAATTAACAAAATATTAGTAAATAGATTTCTCTCCTACTCAAGTTAATGAAAATTTTCTCCTTGTGTTCACGTGCACAGTTTTTCCCAGAAAGCAATAGTTCAGATAAACTTGGAATCCTACTTGTCCACTCCCACAGGAAAGCTCCCTCCTGCCACCCATCCCGATTTCAGCAATAAAATTAGAGAGCAGGACAAGGGCTCGGGAAGTGAAGTAATGGGCTTGATGTAATAGATTTGGGAGGCACTTGTCACTCTTGGCAGACTAACGTAGCTGGAGGTGCTCGCAGCATGCTACCTGGCTTACTTGTCAGACCTATTTGATTGCTTTATGTTTGGAGAGCACTGCATAGATATATTTTAAAATAGAAAATGGAGATCTGTTCTTTGAAGAAAGCAAGTCCATGATAATCGACTTCATTTCAGAGATAAGGTTATTAATGACCTCTGTGAGCGTTCAGTGAAGACATGAGCGAAGCTTTTGTACAAGCTTCTTAAGTACCRAAACAATCAATACAAGTCGTAAGTACCGAAACAATAAATGTACAACTCAGCCTGTAGTCACCTTATTAYGAACTGATCATTCTACACTGGTGATATGTGCTGATATGTACTGGTATACAGCTAGCAATGATTTAAAATAATAATAATAATAATAATGTCTTAGTAATAATTCATTGTGGCATAGAAAAATGCCTGAAATAATCATTCATTGCGCTATGTCTTGTAGAGTTTACAAAATAATTAAATGGTTAGTATTTCATTTGGCAGACAAGTGCAAACATTCATTGGCTGGATGACACAACAAATTCTTTGACTAGCTCTGTAGCTTTCACTAAGGCTCTGTCTATAGTAACTGTTGAAAAATGTGCCAGATAAAAGGACACTTCTTTTGGTACATATAAAAAAGGTGGTGGCAAGGAGGCCACCAAGGTATTTTAAAGAAAATTACTGGGTGGGATGGTCTGTCTTTGAAAGAAGAAATGAGAAAAAAAGTCTTCATATGTTATCTGTAGAAATATAAATAAGTAAAGTTGGCTTTATACATTTCTTACTGTTCTAACTCCAGAACTACAAACAATTTTCATCAAAAATCAAATGGCTGCATAGAGGAGAAATTTGGTAATGTGATTACTTTTCTGTTTTGTAATAATGCAGGGAATTTTTAGATGATGATAAAAATACAGATGGAGGCTCTTCCTGATAAATTCAGAGTGCAAAGGACAGCCTGAATAATGTTTTCCTAAATACGGTGACATTAGCCAATTAGCTGTAAACATTAATTCTTGGCTTTTTTACCTGCAAGCTTGCAGTTAAATTGTAAGACATAAACTGGAAGCTGTTTGCATGTGTTATCACCACATAACATTCTAGAATGGAGACATAATTGATGGTTTTGCTGATGGTACATTAGGCAGAATTTAATTCATCTTCTGTGGGGTTTCTGCTAGCTATGATAGAACTACACTTTTGAAAGATGCAACATTAGCAAAGTTAAGTGCTTTTTTATGCATTTTTGTAGTATTCTATAAATGCAGCAGKTTTTTTTTAGCTAGTACATATGTAACACAGACCCTTTAAACTTATCTTTAAGGTGAATCTCTGCTCAGAAAGATGACCAATCTATTGGTAATGAATGCAACACTGTATTTTTTTCCTACTATTTTCTGCTGCACTTAGCCTTCTCCCTTTTAGTAAACCAGTGGGAGGCTGGGAAGTCCATCCCGATTCTTCCCCAGCGTCCTGGRTGTGATGAGGCACTTGCACGAGTCTGGGAACTGAACGGTTCCTACACATTGCAGAAAGCAAAATTTCAGTTCTTCCTAGAACTTCCTGTATGACAGAGAGATACCAGGCTGCTCACTCAGCTTGCACACGTGCCAAAGAACAGAGATAAGTATCTTCTGACATAAATATCCTCTTAATCTGTAAGCACACAATAGGCTCTTTTTTTTTTCCCTCAGAGCTCCTTTTTCCCCTCAGGAAAGAGCCTATAATGTGCCTTCTGTAGCAAAATGATATCCTCGGAATTACCAGTGGAGACATATGGACTTAAATAGGCTTGTACTGATCCAGCTATTTTGTATTCAGTACAGAACTATTGACTTCTGTTATTGCACAGTAAAGAAAAAGCATCCCTTTCCCACCTCAGGCACTCAGCAAAAGCATGCTTTTAAATATGTTAAAATATATACAGAATTCTGAAAAATGGATTAAGGTGTATATCTGTTAGATACGAACTAACTGTTGGAGAACAGTTATGTTTCAGTATTAATTTATTTTAAGCTTTCTCATAGAAAGGACCAACATGACACAGAAAAGCTTTCAGKTCACTTAAAGCTATAAGCGAGCACTTTATGGCTGCATTTTCTCAGTGCACTAACCAGTTACAAAAGTAGAGGTAAAAAAGGGAACCTTTTCGGCCCTTATTTAGTCTTGGATTTCTTATAAAATGTCAGAGCCCGCAAAGGGAGCTATGTGCCTGCTACAGAGCCCATTTAGAACAGAGCTCTGTGCTGTGAAGTTGTGTGGACTTGAGCAGTGCAGGGGAGCCGGCGTTCCTGCAGAGGCAGGTGCTTGTGCAACGCTGGCTCCCACCCGCCCGGCAGCAGCGGCCACCCTTCGGCTGCTGCTTGCAAGCCTGCTGGGAGCCACCCCCAGGGCCACCAAGAGCAGAAAGGGACCGTGCTCACATGTCAGCATGAAGAAACACTTTGGATTCKGATTCCTGTCTGTCTAAGTACCGTCTCCTAAAATGAAGCACTGCTTCAAATTTGTTACCAAGGATGGAACAAAATTGAAGATGCCCGACTAAGTGATTTGGCAGTCTGTTAATAAAGTATTTTAATGATATTTTAAAATATAGTCTAAAATGTAAAATTACGCAAAGATGAGTGAAAAAGTCTAAAAAACCCATTATAGCTGTTCAAGTCAAACAATAGAAGCAATTGCCTGAGCAGATTTCCAGTATTAGGCAAACTGCAGATGCCTCAACATCTATTCTTAGCAATTCCAAAAGTATTTCATTTCCTTAGCTACTGCATTACTGGGCGTTTTCATGGTATTTAGCTGATTTTGCAGTCTAGCAGGGTCAATACTAGGTCAATATGTAATGATTTGTAATGAGCTGGTACCTGCAACTCTTGAGACCAGACATTATTCTTATTAGTGGAGGTCTGCTTGCCATTTTCTAGATGTTTTACTTTCAGTTATCATAATGTCTGGTAGTGAACATGACRTTCCATTCTAGCTGCAGGTTCTCTACCTTTTCAATGTTCACAATGAGTTCTCAGCAAATACTCTTGTTTCCAGCTTGCTTTACAGAGAGCTGGATACATATTTTGTTCAGCAGTTAAGTAGAATACTAAGTAGGCCAATAACAAGGACAAAAGCATATTTTATTCACGAACACTTTGTATTGAAAAAAATAAATAATGTCCAAAGTGTCCAAGTGTTACACTGGTAGCATTTTATGCAGCCTTGGTCAAGTATTGTAGCCTTTATATAAAACTTTCTCTTGAAGAATTGCAATATTCAGTAGGAAATTTACTCTCACAAAGAACTGTATTTCTTTATAACTGTCAGCATTTATCGTTATGCAATTGTGTGGCCCTAAGACAAAGAGTAAAATTTGACCATTATTTTAGCCAGTGGCTGGAATAGACTATTCTTCTCATATAAAGATGGACAGAACTTAAGAGGCCAAGTGCTATTTTACACTGCTATTATCAAAAATGGTTAGCCATGGCTATTAGAAGAATAAACTAGAGAAATAAAGTAGGAGAAAATCAAATCACTGTCTCCAAAATGACAGAACAGACTTTATCAATGCACTGACCCACTTGCTCCCAGTCTGGCAAAATGAGCAAACATTACTCAGCATTTCCACACAGAATCATCATCTCTGTTCACTGTCTTCTTGCATACCACCTTGCAACATGCATATTCTCCCTATGTTTTCTACATGCGACACTCATTTTTCAGGCACTGCTCCTTTCAGAAAAATTCCGTAAGTTATGTACACTACCAAGCTGCACTACCTCTACACTATTTTAAGAATACAGAAATGACCATATTGTGTGAGACCAAAGAGCTATCTAATATGGTTTATATTTCTTCAGCCCTTTCTCACCCTAAAAAAAAAAAAAGAGGCAATCAAGTGATATTTCCTACAGATGTTTTCCTAGCCTCCAATAATCTTCAGTTTATGAATTTCATGAGAAAACAACATTATTTTTATATTTAATACCCCCAATAGATTTTTCTCCATCCTTCTTAAACCCCTGTAATCTTAAACCCCTGTAATCTTAAAAGATTTCAACATCTTCTAGCGAAATGTTCCTCAGAAGAACACATTTTAGGTGTTTGAGTCTACTATTACTTTCTGTAGTCTAGATTATTACCTATTACTTTTTATAAACTTCATTATTATCTGCCCCTGTATTTCTTCTAGAGGCTAGACTTACCAGTGGAGTGAGAAGGCTGGGATCCTGTGGAATTTTCTCCCATCTTTCCCACCAGTTCAATGAAGATTAGGAGAGTCTAGACTCCACACACTTGAGTGACCTCTTGGTTTGTATGTAAACCACCACCTCCACCACCACCACTTTGTGGTTTTGAATAGCCAGTATTTCCTTCCATAGAGTGAGAACGTTTCCCTCTCCCATGCAGGCACATACTGCTTCCAGCCCCAAAGTTCCAGACTCCAGCAGTACCAGCTGCTAACACTTTCATTGCAAATATATTACTCTGTCTAAATATATTATTTCTACTGAAACTCTTTTATCAGCATGTAATAAAGCGAGAAAAGGCAAAATACATATATATAATGAAAACAAAAGGATTTTGATCACTTACCAAGTGAAGATAAGACATAATAAGGTGGATATTAAAATGAGGACTTGGTTAAACATTGCAGACTGTGTGCGTTGTATGGCTCTGTGAAGATCATTCTATATTAATGGAAAATAGGTGTTATTTTTGGATTTGAATTAATAAAGGCATGAGCTAATTCTATAGAGAAATTATATAGTGCCCTCATAAAATGGAGTCATTGAAATGCATTGAGAATGTGCTGATCGCTTAGAGGGGCGCAGCTGTGATTCAGTGATTATTTAACAGGTTCTTCGTTCATTCTGCCATAATTTTGATAACGCTGCAAACTGCCTTCAGYTTTGCCCGCTGATGTCCAGCTTATAAATTATGTGGGCTGCAAGGACCAATTAGGGCAGAGCAATTCAGTCCCCTCTAAATGTGTGTGAATGGAGAAGAAACAAATGAACCAGCCAGTCTGACTTGCGGGAAGATTCTGCTAACTGAAGATTTCAGTTGATGTCTTTCTAATTTTGATGCAGAAAACACTTTTTGCAAGGCTTGACCATTTCTGTAATTTAACTGCAGATCTGATTAGTTTCCCAGCAAAGCTAGACAGTGAACTATACTGCCAAGATCCCATTAATAACAATTAATATATATTAACAATACATTAGACTTACAATCATGTTCTCCAAAGCATGCTTTGCCAGCCAACAATTTAAAAATACAGGAATAAATAGGTTTCTTAGAACAGGCCAGAAAATCTGAAAGAAAAATCAGCACATACATATTAAAGGCTCTTTTTCTTTAAGAGAATATTAACAAATGAAGCACTCAGGAAAAATCCATATTATTAATGTGTTTCCAGTGTCAGACGTGACTTTAAAATAATTTTATGTTTCTATGTTATGAACTGCATACAAGATCATGTGATAAAATAAGGAAAGTCAGTTTACAGTGAAGATACTAGAGATTCTTAGATATCAAAAAATCATAAACTAGCTATTTTATTTATTATGCTGTATCTTAAGTTAGGAGATTGAATTTGTCTCCTTTTTGCAAGGAAAGGGAAGAACTTTCTTGTTGTTGTCTAATTCTGTTCCCACAGGCACCAATCCAGCATCCATGCAAGACTCCCATTTAGTTCAATAAAAATTAGAATATTAATTTGTGCAGCTAAAGAAGTACAGTGCACAAGAGGGTATTCAAACATGTTTACCGTGATGATGAAAGGGACTGCATTAATTATTTCCAGCAGGAAGGGTATTCTCAGAATTTGTTCCCAGATATTTCCCTTGAAAGAAAAGGAAAAAAGAAAATCACATAATGTGATAATGATTCATAATGAGAAATACACATAATATTCCATAGCTCCAAGTGAAATTCCTCCCATTATTTGAATTTCAGGAAGATGATTTGTCAGTAATTTACACATATATGTCAAACAGTGAGAAGAGAGGCCACCCCAGCTAATTATGTTTTCTACTTTGTATAATGTACCTCATAGGTAAAAATATCGATTTTTAAATTTTTATTTGTATTACAGTTGTTCTCTGTTTTCATATTACCATATATTTTCTTGCTATGAGCCATTTAACAAGACAGCTTAAATTAAGATTTCTAATTGCATTAACTAGCCAGCTCATTCTCTCAGCTAATGAAATGTTCTCATTTAATGAACATTAATTTTTCAAAATTTTGAAAAGAATAATATATTCCTTTTTCTCTTATTGCATTTTTAGGTATCTTGACATCATATACAGCCATCTTCTTGTTTTGCTTTTTCATTCTTTCAAGGTTAGTTGACTTCTGTTTTTAAACATTCACAGATAAATGAGGAGATGAAGCTGTTGTCTTTAGGAATTTATTTTTACAGCAATACTAGTTTTTCACTGATTCTTCAACAAGCAATAGGTCAWCCTGACAGTGAACTCTTCTATTTGCAACTCTTTCTAGTCCCTTTTTCTTAGAAACCTTTAAATCTATAAAATGATATCCAGCAATTTTGATTATCTCTGCCCATGGGTGACTGCCGAACTAACATTTCTTGAGAATGATGAAGCACCCTCTGTACTGTCTTCTTATTCATAGCAAAGCATAAAGCCAAGAGGAATGTAGATATGTTTTGTTTTCCAAGAAGAAGATACCAGCTTATTTTCTGTTGATCTTGTTTCATTAGCCTGTGCATGTTGCTTAGTCTCAGAGGTTTGGSTGTCACTCTGTATTAATTTTGATTTAAGCGTTAATTAAGAAGAGAAATAACGTTAAGTTAGGGAAAGATAGCAGCACTCAATGGAGAGTCTTTTTTTCCTTTCAAGTCAGTTTATCTTCTTTTATCTTTAATCTTCTGCCTTACTACTGGTTTGAAAGGAAGAAAGACAGTCTAGTGTTTAATATTGGAACTAGAACTAAAAATCAAAGCTTAATTCTGCCATAGGCACTTTAGCTGTTTGGATCTTTATCTTGAAATGAAGGGTGCTCCAACATACACTAGTTATGGTGCTGGAGGGTTCTCTTGATCTCTTGATCTGCTTACCACGTGTTACAGAATGGAGATAATACTGCTACGCTTAACACGGCTGAGCTGTGACTGAATGCTTAGGTGGTAGGATGAAAATCCATTCATTAAACAAAAAGAGATATTTAAAATTCAGTAACTTCTAGCTTTACTAACGCTATGTATCATGAATCTATCATAGGTAATGCAATATCAAAATGCAGATTATATGATATTATTGCAAGAATTTGCAGTACAGCACCATAATTTCAGTTGCAATGATAAATAAATCCTTCTTTTGAAAATAACCATCTGGTATAGCCTCTGAATTTAAACAGAAGCCACATTGTGTATAATATTCCTCTGTTTTTTTTCCTTTTCACATTTGGAGCTCATTGTAGCTATTGGGCAGAAATTAATGTCTCCAATGTAATTGTGGTTGGCGTAAGTTAGACCTACTTCAGTGATCTTAAATATTTGATATGCTAGTAGTCCTTTGAACAGAAATAAAATTATGAGTCTACAGACTTGAGTTTTTACTGGTAGGAATAATAAAATAAAATTTAAAAAAAGACCTCCAAATCTTTTAATTTATTAACCCATTCTGTGTTTTCACTCATTTCCTKATCTTTTATGTGAGCCTTCTTTTCTAAGCTAGAAAATAATGATCGTGGTTTCATGTTTCCTTGTATTTTTATTGTTCCTCTCTAAAGAGAATACAGAGCCAGGATTAAGGAACTTAATTCTTTTGGCATGTTCTACATTAGAAAATATATCCCTAGTCTTGCCTTTTAATGCTACAGGTTTGTGTATGTTCTCATACAAATTCAAATTCCGTTGGCAAAATTAGTCTTTCTGTTAGTAAAATAAAATCCATTATTGAAATGTTATATTCCGGCGATTCATATACTCATATAATTTCCATTCATCTCCCTGAATGGGAAAAAAAAATAAAAAACAAAACACAGTAATTTATCTGTGCAGGCAAAATGCTGATGTGGTTCAGTGACCTAGTGTTGCTTGCAGCTGTAACGTTCTGGCTCCCACACACAAGTACATCGTGTCTTCTGTAAAACTGTCTCTTGCAATAAGAGCACATGGTACTGACCAAAGTAGATAAGGGTGCCTGTGCCCTGGTGACACGGTAGAATTGCCAAATATCTGTGACAAATGTTTTGGCAATGGAAATTTCTGATGTAGAATATAGTCTTTTTTAGGATTTTGCAAACTCTCATGTCAATGTAGGCTGTTGGAACACAGCTTGTAAAACTTTTTGAATCTAAGTGATGAAGTTTTTGGATCCAAGTGATCAGCTGTGTAATACAATGCTATTTTCTTTGCATAACCTACCATATAGAAGCAATAAAACAGGCAAATTCATTTAAGTGTATCCTAATATCTTTATACTCTCCTCATTTTTTGTGTGTCAGGTCACTTATAGGTAAGTGCTAGGTAATTCTTTGGAATATTCTCTCAGATGATTATTATACTCCTCCTTGAGGTAATCTGTAAAATTCTAGCAATGTTTGTGATAAAATCATCTTTTTCTTCTTGTTGTCTTCCTGTTTGTTCTCTCACCTGTGCCAAAATTGTAAGAGCTCTGGAAATGTTGGCATGAAATAAGCGATCTGTCTCAGATTTATATCAAGACTGCTTTGCTTTGTTTGCCCTGGCTGTGCAGAAAGACTTTACAATGAGTGAAAAAAATAGTCCTTTTAGCTTGCCAAGACTAAATGCTCTATCATGATGTTGTTTTCAGACTCTTAAGCAGAGATCCAGGACCCGAGGGGAGATGTTTTTGCATCAGGTGGATTGCCAAAGTGCATTTCAGTACAGTTATTCTTCCTTACAATATTTTTATATCCTTGAGTAAAAAAAGAATACATAGATTCCTATGTATTTGCTATTCCTATGTATGTTGCTTCAACAGCTCAGCTTCTACTTTGATCCTGAATTTGTAAGATGGAAAGAGGGTTTTTTTTTTTTTTTTTTTTTTCAGACGTCAAGGAAGCAGGTAATTATAACGTTGAAAATTTACTTAAGCCAGTCAGGTAAGAATATTATCTTTTATGCAAAAATAATTGCAATGACTATTCAGCTTCTGATTACATATTTTGGAATTTCCTTGACCCACAGCAAGTACAGTTCTTTTTTTTCTGTGAATTTTTTTTCTGTGAAAAGTATATGCAGCAAATCGGGATAGGAGAGCTCTCTACTCATTCTGCATTAGGAAATAACTCATCGAGGGAGTTTACTTGTAGATATTTCTTTCCTCTTGTGTACTCTCTGAAATTTGTGCAAGGTGCAAGCACACTGGATAGGCAAAAAGTGCTGCTCAGTAAATTCAGGGACTGTAGGCGTTTTTGTGTTTTTAGGGCTTAATAAGTTAGAGAGCTTAGCGAAAGTAGATGATATAGTATAGTATAGGGCATAGAGCTTAGGGCATGGCGCTCGGAAGATCTCGCGATGTCACCGGAGTTAGGAGCRTAATTAATTTATGCAGTTTACTGATAACCCCATGCCATACAAGGCGAAAAGTAGAAATTAGTCTCCCRATTGGGCAGTAGGTGAGTTTCCGCATTCAGCTGGAGTATATAGGCAGACTGCACTGCGCAATAAAGGCCATTTTGCCGCATCCCCCATAGTGATATCTGTGCTCTAGGGCCCTGGGGTGAGGACAACCCCAGGTCAGTCCAGCTAGCAAACAAGGCTTGCCGACCCCCGCCGGCAACAAGGGACAGTATAAATTATGGCTGTTTTATAATGTGGGTTTTGAATATAAGACTACAATGTGTTAATTTAATTGGGTTATTTCTAAGCTTACCAAATGAATGCATTATCTGAAGATTCATGTAAGTACAACTTTTCAAGGGAAAGGCAAAGACAAAAGTGTTTTGTATTCACATACTTTTATCAGAAGATTTCAAGACATTTTACAAAGATGTACTAATTGATAAGAAATGGATTTGGGCAGGTGAAAATAAAAGGTCTGTTTTGGCCTAGTTTTTTGGTGCCCAATTCTGAAAGCATGAAATTTGAGCTCTGGATACTAAGTAACCTTGCCTTTGAACCAACTGACAATTGTGTGTCCATCGCATAATAATTCCATAGATATATAAAATTGTGCACTTGAAATATCAGTATCCAAAACCAAAGGTGTATTTCTGAGGCACTGTACTCACTTGAAAACAGGAACAGCAGTCCAATCCTAGTTAGAGGGTTCACTCTATAGCTTTAGATACAGTGGAGATTCAAGTCAGGCAACTCTATGTGCTTACCTTGTAGCTTAGATAACTCAGCAGCATCGTTTCAAACAGACTTATTAAAGCCACTGAAACCTTAAATGAAGAGAGATAACATATGTTAATACTAGCTTCTAAAGAATATATAACATAAAAAAATTGAAAAATTAAAGATTATATAAAACAGCTTTTCCATACATCCTCTGAAACCATCTCAGCCAACAACATAAAGCTCCAAGCTTAGAAACTCTCATTTGTTTGAGTAAAGCATAGGCTTTAATGCAAGATTGTAACCATGTGCTATCAGTGTCTCTATTTTAGAAGTAAATTGGACACAGTAAGCTGCATGCCTCGGTCCGAATGTATTTACTCAAACTGTGCCTACTTTAACCAAGCATTTGAAAGGTATATTCATTAAGGGAATCTTTATTAAAATGTTAGATTTGATGCAAATAAAAACCACCACAATGGCACTGCATTAAGCCCAGTGCAAGAACATAATGGCATAATTATTCCAGAAGCATAAAGAATTTTTAATAGAAAAATACAAGGAGTATTCCTGGGAGAATTCCTATAAATGGTTTTGAAAGTTTGGAGAAATTGAGAACTTAAGTAAAAGAGTATTTTCTATATACCATAAATCATGTAATTTTAATAACTGTTAGATCACTTTTAAGGGCCGTTGAGCATTTGAAAGTCCTGTTATTTTCAGTTAGCTTGTTATTTGGATTTCCGAAAGTAGTGACAGGGTAGTTACACCTGTTTTTTGAAGGAAAGTAAAACAGTAGAAAAACATTATTCCAGGAAATAAAATTACTGAAATTCAATAATGCAGCTTGGGTATGTAAATCTACATTACATTCTTTGGGAACTGTTTTTTGGGTTTTTTTGTTTGTTTTGTTTCTTCCCCTGGAAACCCAATAAAAACATGAATCATGAAACATTCCTTTGAGATTAAGGACCAGCCTATAGAGCAGTTATGAAACCAGTCTCCCTCAGTTCCCAGCATTATAATCCCAAGAGTAATCTTTCATCCTTTAGTGAAAGAAAGGACCACTATGAATGAATTTCTGCTTTGGGCAGTAACATGCAACGCCATGCACAGGTAAAAAAGAGAGGTTGCTTCGATGAGCAGGCTCTTGGACACTGAAAACTGAACCACATAATTCAAAAGCACTCAGAGATCCATAAAGCATTTTATATAATGCATCTACTGTAATATACTTCAGTAAACATACAAGCTTCTAGAATATGAAGCAACTTTAATTTTCTAGTAGATTTAATACAGAAGCCCAGAAAACACATTACAAAAGCTAATCTTAGGCAATTACAAAGTATAAACTAACCATTATAGAATATAGCCACTATTAAAGCAACACACCTTGATAATTCTAGAAGAAAAAGCTAGACTAACTCTACAATATTTTTGTAATGCTCAATACTTTATGAACATATTTGTAAAGCAGTTAGCCTCATAAATTGAAATCGAACAGCTCATATCATGGTATCTTGTTTACTTTATGTTTTCTTTGTACTCAGTCATCAAGTAGATTGTTAATATTACCTTTTCCATTTATCGTTTAACATCTCTAAAATGCTACAAATCAATACTGCTTAGGGTTATTAAGTGGAAACAGTTAAAATTGCCCATTCATACATTACCTGTAATCCCCATAAAGGCAAACTTCGATTCACCCAAATAATAGGAGACCTGTTCATTATAATGAGAAAATAAATATGATGTTATTCTAAATCTGATTAATGTCCTCACCAAAGGGAAAAATCTTGTGTACATGTCAATGGAAATTAAAGCAAACTCATTTTTTAAAAATGGTTCTCAGTAATAAAATTTTGAAATAAGTTATCTACTTAGTACTGACATTCTGTTTGTCTTTCTAATCCAGAGCCAATCACTGAGTTTCCTTGAGAATAATCTAATGCACAGTGATGCCAAAGTCTGTTATTGGCCTCAGGGCTGCTCATTCATCTGCCACAATTCTAGAAAGAAAGCAGAAATCCTCAATTTGAGGTTCTGATTCTAGAGCTGCAGGGGAATAATTATTTGTGGTAGGACTGGAAGTAATTGCTTGACAGCTAAGGAGCTTTAAAATGTCACATTCCTGTCTTCCAGTTTCCCTCCCTACCCACCACTAAGCAGACTTTTGGTTTGTCTTTTCTAAATTAGGAACTCACCAATCAATCATTCCAGGTGTGTAGTTTTGACTTGAACAACTCCGGTTGAATTCCTTACTGATGGTTGCCAATATATCCATGAAAAGTCCGTTTTCATTAGCAAAAATTGGAACACCATCATAGAAGAATATAAAGGGGGGAAGGGGCATTAAATGGATTATTAAAAATAGATTATAGATTCAATATTTTAAAATACTAGCTAGAATAATGGATATAGTAATTCAAAAATAATTCTAATAAAATAATTCTATATGTTTTAGGTAAAGGTCTATAAAGCATTTCAAGTTACATTTTTTAAAGATTCATTTACAAGATCAAATTGAAAATAACTAAATAACTTACAATATATTTTCAAGTTGAACCAAGTATACAATAAAGGAGATGCAGAGATACTAGAAATCCCATTACAAAGACAGGTTGGGACACAAAGCGTATGTGTATCTGTAATTGCTATTCTCTCAACAGGAAAGCCTGCATCAAACTATAGTTCATATCCACCTGTGAGGTGGCCTGGGTTTCAGGCAGCCTTGGTAATTCAAGTGGGAAACCGTTGGCATCTATGCAAAAAGAACAAAAATAAAAGCTGCTGTGTACATATAGTCTGATCTTGCCTTGAATGGCTGGTACAAATCTTCCCTTTAAATGGTCATGTAAGGAGGTGGGAATATCTTTGTGTAAATGATAACAAATAACATTGTCCCTGGCAAACAAGATCAGGAGAAAGGGAGCTCTGGCCCACTAATAGCTGTATTTTTACCAACTACAAGGGTGGGACAGGCCTAAATAGTATCCCTTAGTAAGGCTGCTTTGCATCTTAAACTCTCACTCCTGCTGCTGGCCCTGAAGGAGTGAGTGATAGATACCAACTTGCATAGCATTTCTGGAAGACGGGCAATAAATCTCCTCCCAGAACTGTCACTTCAGGAACAACTAGGAGACAACTGTGGCTACTCTTATCAGCAATCAAGTAATTTCTTTTATTAGGCTGTGACAGAGCGCCTCGGGGGAGATCTCTGAGCAAGGCAGCTTAGGAGGGATGCCTTATGTAAGTGCCTGAGTTCTCAAGCCCTCAGGGTCAGGATGGACAAAGCCATTGACATTAATGGGATACCCTTCGGGCACGGAACTGGACTTGAGGCACAGCTGGTAAAATTGCAGGCTTTGGCAGCATGCAGACATGACTTATCAGATATTTCTAAGGCAGTCAAATACTATACAGAGATGGAACAAAGGAACTTCTTTGCTAAACTATACTAAAACATGTAGAAAAGATGACTACACACTGTCGTTAGTTAATTATTAAAAATTTTGTTTCCAGGAAAGGCCTGGAGAATTAAGCAGTCTGCAAGATGCAGAAAAATCTTTATGTGTGAATATAAAAGTATGAAACTACATCTGCTAGCAATAGAAGTACTGACATATTTTTATCTTTCTGACTTTTTAATATGCCCTACCTGTCCAGACATGTTTGCCTTATAAGATTCTCATTTAAGCTAACTTTTGTATTAAGAGTTCTCATAACAAAACAATACCAGCAGCTTCTCCATGCAAGAAGTCATCATCTGAACTTTATATTTCTTTTCCACTAGAAAATTACATTACTTTAAATTAGATCCATGAAGTCCAATTTTACTTTCTGCCATGCAATTGTGCTGGAAGCTTTGATACCAAATGGATAATTTATTCGAAAAGAGTATAGCAAGATCATTGTTTTATTCTTTTTATAAAATCCCTTGGTGATATTATATTAGGCATTTTTTTATATATATATATCCTTTTCAGGTTTGGGATTTGGGGGTTCTTTTTTGTTTTTAAAACAGCTCTATTTGCTATAAACTGTATGTGAATTAATACAGCTGTTTTGTACTCTTGCATTATATTACAAAGTATTGCTCCCTATGCATACTTCTCAATATCTTAATACTTAAATATCTCCCTGGTTTCACATTACACATCTTTTCCAATCCTGAATTTGTATGCTTCTCACTGAGGAATAGCAAATAATGTCGGTTTAAAGCCCTGCATTGTAATTTTATTTTATGAAATCTTGTCGTCTTTTTTTTCCCCCAGTTAAAGCATTAAAAGTAGCAGCTTGAAGAATCTTGTAGGAATGTTCCTGAAGGTCAACATCAACTTACATCAGTCACTACAATCTCTGCACAACATCCCATTGGCAGAACGTATTCTGAAATAAGACAAAGGGAGGATGCTGACTGGACATACTAGTGGCAAGGACAGCGGGAGTGAATAACGGTGCACGGAACTGTTGAGACTCTGTATCCACGTCCCTGGATGCCATTGTGACCTTTGCCGTTTTTTCACTAACAAAGAAAGTTATTGTTCCGTTCAGTTGTTGCATTCTATTTAAAACATATTAAAACTAGGTTTTGGCAAATTTGCACAACTTGATCTGAACTCTAATGGAAGATACAGGTAAGCAAGAGCTCTTGGGGAGGCCAGAGAAACAAGCAAGCAGGAGCTTGCTTGGCCTTTCTGCCAATATTGTCTTGACCTGACACAGCAACCATTGTTATTACAGCAAATTCATCCTGTTAGATAACACCATTTTAGATACAAACTGCAGTTAATAAAAAATGGTGCTTGTTAACGTGCAGAATAATAGAGAAGATTTAACATCGGACATTTTAGGCTAAGGAGGAAATCAATTTACAATTCTGTATAATTAATCTAGTTTAAACTTCAAATTAGAAAATAAAATCAAAGTACAACATTGAATGAATTATTATCATTTTATATAGAATTATTAGATTATAATTGTTTATTTTGTAGTTTTATGTGGTTGGTTGTAAAATGCACGAGAAAACATCCGAGTATCCACACAGAATACCTTTAATGCCAGTTGTGAGTATGCAACAATCGTGCATTAGGACCATGGAAAATCATTGTTACAGAATGTAATTTTGGTTTCCCTTTCTTATTTGTTTAGGGAAAGCAGGATGGCTAGAAAATTATCATCCCTGTCCTCTACTTGAATGCTCAGTTTCATGTATTCATCAGCTTGTCCCATGGATCCGGGGTTTTATGTAAAACTGCAAAAATTCTCATATTTATGGCACGGATAATTAAGAACCAAAGTATATACTAAATGCACTTCCAAATGACATTGCAAGGTCTAGGTATTTAGGCAGCTGGAAAAAAAAAACAACAAAGCTGCCAAGGAGCATACAGGATCTTTAGCAGGAAGCCTGGGAAACTGCCTTTCAGTGGAAGGCTCAGAACACAACACACTTAAGAGGCAGCAGAAGGATATTGTCATCTAGGACTATTTCACGCCAAATAAGAAGATTAATGCTCCGAAGTAGCAGAGGCTTACAGCTGGTGTGGACACTACCTGTGCATACCTGTTGGTCTGCTTATGACTACAAGTATGGTAGATATATTATCTGATAGACTGTTCATTATTACTTTCAAAACACAGCTTAACCATCCATTTTTCCACGGCTCAAGTCTCCCTGCTTTGCACATACCAGTCACTGTTCTTATCAGCATTTAAAATCAGTGCTGCAGAAACTGGCGTGATGTTTAGAATTTTATTTTTGCAAATATAAACATAAATATGACACAAATGCTCTATGCAATACAACCAAAGATACATGTGCTTTTGCACAACTATATGAAATGCACAGTATCTGAACAAATAGCCAACATGATTTTAATACTGAAGTAAAAAGAAACTGTTACTTTTTTACTGCACAACTTTATGATTCCCATTCAAAATACAAGACTAGCTTTCTAATTCATTCAGAATATCTGTAAGACATAAAACTAAATCCCTGTGGTAGAATACCGAACATTTATTTATGCAGTTCATGTAGTTCAAGTTAAACAATGTTTTCAGAGAACAGATAACAAATAAAACATTACCATGCTTGTCCTTGCGTAGGATCATCTAGGAGCACACGAATTATGTATAAGAAACAGCTTAGTAGCTTGAGAGAAAAATTGAATAACCGTATTCTTAGACCTATTTTTAAAAGAAAACAAGAAATTCAAGTTCTTTATAGTTTAACTCATTTTTAAAGTAAAATTATTTAAAAGGAACTAGGACAGCCCAGCCATGCTGCATYGTACCAAAAATCCGTCTAGCCTATTAACTTGTCTCTGATATCGGCTAGTCTGTGTCACAGGATAGAACACAAGAAAAGCCTCTCAACTAGACATATAAATCTCTGGATTAAGACTTTGTGTTTTAATATGCAGATCTACTCATTCCCTCAAAGGCCATTTTATGCCATTCATATTTGCTGAAGTCATTATTTGGACCTTTTTTAGTTTTCTAAGTTCTTTTTTAGAAAGGAGAACAAAAAATACATATAGTTATTTGAAATGCAAAATATAATGTCATGACGACATACTTTCAGTCAGAAGCAGAGAATAAACAATGGCAAGTAGTCAAGTATCAGTATTTGGAAGTCTTTATGCAGCTTTTCATATGGAATATATTAATAATTTAATATAAAATACTAAACTGTAAATATATATTAAACTGACATCTGAAAATCATGTCAAATATACTCCTTGAACACTGAATGATTGAATAATTGTTCTAGGGACTCTGGGCACATGGAAGTATTCTAGGTGACAGCCCCCAAATACTCTCCCACATTAGAGTACTTCCTAAAAATGTACACCTAAATCCTAGAAGTCTGCACAAAGACAGGATTCTTTCAAATAGATCCACATGGACACTTGGTTCTAAAAAAGGCAATTTAATTCAATGTTAATTGGAGTTAATAGAGCCATTGTTTACCGCAGTGCAACTTAACTGTACTTTAATCAGGTTTTGTAGTCATTACAGGATTAGTTCAAATCCTCAGTCTTGTTATGGCATACAGTAGTCTTAAAGTTTCGGCCCTGAAAATACCTTTGTCTAACTCTAGGCTTTAAAGGCTTTCACTCCGGGTTTAAGGTCAGACTGTTGATTAGATGGTAAAAGGCAACTTTATTTTCAAGCATTATTATTCTTCAGACTTTTGAGCTGAGAATCCAGTTTTGTGCAACTGAACCCTTGTAACCAAAGCAGAATACCAGTGACCGAGCCTCACACAGATATGTTTTAATTTGCACCAGCCATAGGTAGATATCTCTTACATGTCACAAGTGTATTAGTAGGCCCACTGAATTCAATATAATTAGTTCAATGGTTTGAGGAATTAAAGTCCCATTATGCTTACCCAAACCGCTGTGAATACATTCACTTTTAAGGAATGTCTTAAGATGTTACATACTTCACCTTATTCAGCCTTAAACTTAAAATAATACAACACAGACAAAGCTGAAAAAATGRCCCTCTGCATCACCCAGCCCATTAAAATGCAACTTAGAGCATTTATAGAAAAACATAGAAAATACAGAAAAATATAAAACACAGAATCTTCAATATTTTAAAATGCAGACAATGAACAAAAAATATTATGTAATATTAATTACTATGAAGTTTCACTTTTATGAGAACTGGAAGCAACTTTATAGCATCTTGCCACCTGTAAACTAGGGGTTAAATCCTGTGCTGAGGTTCAAACTAGGAGAAACCCCACAGCTGTTAGTGGCAATTAGATTTGTGACCATTACCCTAGAGATTCCCCTTGCCTTATCAAGCCTAATTAGCCACAGACTATTTATTGCCCAGGGAAGAATGGTGAGATTGTGCTAGTAAGTGCATCTAGAGGCTTTGGAAGGTAGGTGAGTAAATGTGCTGTAATGCTGTTATTTCACTGGGCAGAGCCTTGCTACTTTTCTTAGATTCTGCTATAATCCTTGTTTTTGGTTGGTTTGTTTTTTGAACTGTTGTTGAAAAGATATGAATTGTCTGGCTGTGTTAATCCTTCTGTGGAAGCCTCCTGCACTATGAATGGTTGCTATACCAACTAAGCTATCACGATGAGAGGAACAGATGATGGGGCAGGAGGGAGCAGGACTTGCTTCTTTTCCCCACCYGTATCATCTTGTCTAACTGTTGAGCGAGTATGCAAGTCCATCATCTGCAATTTCTCCAGGTTTTATCTCTGTAAATGTCAATCTCAATCTGAAACATTTTTATGTTAGGCCAGCTTCTCATTATTTTTTGAAATCTTATGTTGGTTAAATGCCAGTAGGAAATGGCGCCTTTATGATAAAGCTAAATCAATATAGGGAAGCCATGTTCTGGATTCTTGTGTTAGGCTCTTAATTCTGAAGTCTCCTCCCTGAAAAAACAGAGCATTTAAATAAGTTCCCCAAATCTATTTCTGATATGCCCCAAAGTGCTCCAGGACCTGAATATCTGAGCAGGAATAGCTATGTACCACACAAGTCTAAGTAGGCTTTTCACAGAGATGTTATGTCATCAGAGATGTTATGTCATACTTAATGGGCAGCTCTATACTGTGGATGGGCTTTCTATAGCCCATCTCTCTCTATATATATATCTTTTACATATATATATGCTTAACAGTAAAAAGATGAGCCTTTTGTAATGTGTAATTGTGTCAGTCAGAACACTCATGTGGGAGAAGAGAAGCTTCTCGTGCTTCAGAATGTAATGTCTCCTACTTGGATGAGTCTTGGGCATTAGAAATAGCATGTGCAGCAACAGGGAGTTTATTTGGTCACCCTTGCAAGGTTGGAATAGTTACCCAGGGCCACTAAGCCAGTGTTCTCCCTGATCAAAATATGCTGTCACCTGATAGTTAGAGCTGTTATCTGTGAGTTGGAAGAACTGCATTTCTTTTGCCATTATGGAGTGGTAGGATTTCAACTGAGGAAGTCTAAAATGTAGACACAAAATGATGGAATTAAAAATAAGTGGCTTTTTTTTTTTGTTACAAACCAAGCCGTCCATGTTTGTTTGCTAGTTGACTATTTTTGTCCTCTATTTTGCATGCTGTCAGTGTATCAGTATGGTCTGCTTGACTTAATTCCTTTTTTTCCCCCCATGCATAGGCAGACTGTTCAAGTAGCATGGGCATTTGCACAGAATGTCTCTATCTATATTTTGACCTTGGTGCCTGAAATGTCTATTCATATCAGTTATTTGCTGTTAATCGAGTTATAGACTGTTTAATAAGATTATAATTTCACTGTACCCCTGTAACCATGGTATTATATCTTTTGTCTTTTTTTAAAATAAGACATTGCTATAAATGGTTCAGAACTTGTTTGTTTCATGAAATGCAACATTAACATTTGATATAGTTGCCTTATCAGGTTTGAACAAGAACCTCCTATTTTAATGCAATTTGATACATAAAGTGATGCATCAAACCTTATCAGCCTGGCTTGTGACCTTCACATATAATACAAGTTCCTACTGCTGCTTTTACAAGCATTTTGGAGAATAATCCTTCATTTTAGAGAGGCGATCTCATTCAAAGTGAGAGTGACAAAGATGGCAGATGAAAACTTTACTGCTGCCTTTTCTTATACCTTTCAGCTGTATCTCTATCATCTGTTTTCTGTCTTCTTCCCTTTCAACTCTAAATCGGGTAACTATGATAGTTCAAGAGACCTGATAAAGTTTCCAGTAAGTCTTTAACATGTTTTGTCTTTTAGCAAATTCATCTCGGTAGCAGCTGGCTTTAGAAGTTGGATGAAAACATATGGTTAATAATTCATATCCTGGAGATGGCTATTTCATTTATTCCTTCTCTACTGAATTGGAACTTCACTTATTTTTCCATTTGAGACATATTTGAAGCTGTGATAATACAGTGTGTCAGCTTGGCAAGTACAAGCAAGTCATACTAATATGTCATCGCTTCTCTGTAGCTGGCCGATACTGTTATAAAATGTTTTTTGATGCGTTGTAAACGGTCTTGAATATGCATTTGCTTTGCAAAAGACTGATTGGAAGCTAGGTTGACACTGGACTTAGAGCAAGGCTTATTTTTTCTCATTTTAAAGAACTGCTGAAAAACCATAATGACTGAAATGCTGCTATTTCATGCTGCAAATCCACGTGCAATTTAGACTAGAATAATATTCTGTAGAGAATCTCTAAATGTTGGAATTGGCTGTTCAGATTGGGAAGAATACATAGTATTGTTTCTAACTCTCAGATTACTTAAACTCATTTGTAAAGTCTTAAAAGTTGGCTTAATTGTCAAACACAAATGGTTTGATATAATGTACTGTCTGGGGAAAAATGAGGAAAATAAGACTATCATCAGCAATGATAGGAGGTAGCAGGGGAAAGTATAATACGTGAAGGATGTTTGGTAAGTCCATCTCGCTAGAGACCAACCAAGATTTGAATGGCCATGTCTTAACTTATTGTCTTGTTGTGTGGCAAAATCTTACAATTTCAATATAAACTGGAATGAGTGGTAGGTACTCTTCTACATGCAGTTCTTGGAGATAAAGGGTATTTGGGAGGCATTCTTGTTTTGAACACTTGAGTAAGTGAGGGTTTGACTAAAATTTCTAATTCTGATTATTGTGTGGTGTGTGATTCTCTTTAATCACTTTCATACAGTAGAGCAGAATTTAGTTAAGCTCTGTAAGSCAAACTAGCCTGTGAGATCCTCATTCTTCTATGAAACTTACCACACCTATAGATGGTATAGGAGGAATATACTACATAGGAGAAATAATCTGAATCTGGATTTCTTAAGCAATCATCAAGCACACTGAGCAGGAAATCTCTTGGTTTTTCTTATTTATAGTGTTAACTTGTCCCCAGTAGGATGAATTAACAGCTGCATTCCCACTCTTACCTCTGTCAAATAATCTTGCAAATAATTTCTGTCCCTTGGACCAATGCATCATATTCCCAGTACTGGGATATCTCTGTTGGGCTATGATTCAGTAACTTACGAGTCTCTTAATGTGCTTGGCCAGAAGGGTAAGCATCTTTCACCAAAATAGCTGTGAATTCATGCTAATTAACTAGCTTATGCTTATATTTTTTATGCTAGAAATTTGGCCTCTTAGATTTGGACTACATGATCTGTAATGGTCCCTTCTAACCTTAAGGATTCTATGATTCTGTGTACAAACTCGTCAGTTCTGCCACCAAAGATTATATATTGTATATAATTGTATACTACGCGCCTCCTCCACACACATACACACTTGCACGTTAAATGCAAGAACTTATTTCTCATCTTTAGTTACTTCAAATAATTAAGTACTATTAAGAATCTTTCCTATATATGAAAAGAGATTTAAAATGAGTCAGGTCAGAGTGCTGTTTTTTAAAGTAAAAAAGCACTCATCAATCTGCTGTCTTGTGCAACAGTGCAGGAACAAATAGAAGGAAGGCTATTCACTAGTTTACAACTTTGAAGACTGCCTAAGATTCCAGCTAAGATTAAGCTGGAATCCTAAGATTCCAGTTAAGAATAGTATTTTTTATTAGTATTTTTATTATATATCCATATATTTAGTAGTAATCTATTATATGATATATGAACAACATTAGAGGCTGAAGATTATAAAGGTACAAAATACTTAGAAGCACAGTGTTCTAAGGAGAAAAGTACAGGGGAAGCAAAACTGTTTGAGGAGTTTTATTACATTAACAGTGACACCTTAAATGTAAACCCAGCTAAACTTTCTTGTTTCTATCATAATTGGAAAGCTCAACTAATAAAAAGATCTTGTCAAGTGATGTAAAACCAGTATTTCTGGTTTTGTGTGTGGTTTTTTTTGTTTTTGTTTTTTTAGGATGGAACATACTGTGGTTGGTCTTATTTTTAATAACTTGATCTACTCTTCATATTTTGTGGACTGTGACTTATGTTCACATTGTATACTGAGAAAGGGGTTTGGGGTGGTGGTTGTTCAGTTTGTTTGGTTTTCTTAATCCTGATGAGAATTCTGTAACAAAYAGATAACTAATCAGTGTCTACACCACTTGTTTTCATCGTATTTTTGTAGATATAGCCATGTTTTAGTTCTTCCATGTTCTCTTTTATGATAGCCTATGAATTCAAGCACAGACCTACACGTAGCTGCCTTAAGTTGGGCTAAAAGCATGGAATTCATTTTTAACTGAGAATGCATTGCAGAAGACTGAGTAGGTGCATCTTCCCCATTAGTTTTCTCTTCAAAGTTTCATTTTGCTGTACAGATAAAGATTTGAAATATAACTAATAGTAAGACTAAGCACTTTTAACTAGATATGTCTGTAGATTTCTCTTTTTTTTCCTCCCCATAATAGTAAAACTGATTCCTACTGGGCAAAACTCTAGTTCTGCAGAAAATTAGTGAGAACTTTGCAATTGTCTTCAATAGAATTGGATTTTACCCAAAGGATTAAAATCATGCATAATAAACTGCTTACTTGATCTTTGGTTTTTGATGAAGAAGAGCTTCAGTCTCTCTTTAAATGTATTTTCATTCATATAGAATTCAACTTGCACCCTGAAATATAAAAGGAAATATTAGAATTGAGCATGAAAGAATAAATGATAACATTTCAAAATGACTTTTCCCAGTAACCTTCCCCCTTCTTCCCATACAATTGGATCCACAGAGTGTCTAGCCAAGAGATCACCGAGATGGGAATGAGTAATGATAGATTTTTTTTTTTTTTGGCTTATTTCATCTAGTTCATCCCCTTTCAATGTAGAATCCTCTTCATAATACTTGCACTCTGCATCCTGAAGTCAAAAGCATCTGTGCTTGGTTTTCTTGGTTGGTTTTTGTGGGGGGAGGTTATTCTAGCATGGATATCTCTGTCAATATTTCCCTGATGTTTAGGTTAACTTTTCTTATTTTAGCTCTGCTCCTGTTAAAATGCCATTTTAATGATTCTTCTTCTTACCTTGTTTATGATGTGCATACACTGATCTCCCTGATCTGCACAACCTTCTTTCTAAAGCAACAGTAATGACCCCCACTGCCACCACCACCCTTTTCCCCACCACATGCCAGGATACAGTTCATGTCTGTTCTCCTCAGCAGGTTTTCAAACTAGTGCAGCGACTGGGTGGGGGTGTTAGTTATGCAGAATACACTTGGCTCATTCCAGAGGTGTGAGGCTGCACTTGCAGTCTGAGTGCAACATGAGCTCTGCTTTCTCTGAACTCCTTGCCGCCTCCGAATGGCTGTATCTGCCTGGCCAGCAATGCAGCACCTTTCACTTCATTCCAGCACATTTTCTGTATCTGAGCTTCAGTTCTCAGCTTCAGAACTGCCATACTTTGCTAAAGAACAGACTGGCAGCACAGTAAAACTGAATTCCTTCCTCAGCTCTCACTTTCTCTGTGCAAAGTGTAAGTGTTGCAAAATTGCCCTTAAGGACAGAAATACATATGCATTTGACCTTTTAAGAATTTCTTGTCAGTAATCTTTCATTCTTATTTGTTGTTAGATATATTGTTGTATATTTTTTCCGGACTTTAGTTATTTACTTCTTATATGTAAAGTCATTGCTGAAATAACTCATATAATTTAGTATTACTTCTATTGCCTTACCCTAAGTAGTTGTCTAATAATGTGTATTTTTCTAACTCTGTGTAAGTGAATGATAGTTACAATCTGAGGTCAAGAACAACAACCTAGAAAATAAAACTTTTTTAATGCTTGCTTATTACCTTAAGTTTACATATTACCACACTGAAGTCAGAAGTTCATAAAAGACCCTCTATGACCCACTTACCAGGATCAGTTAATTTTAGTTAGCCACTTGGTTTTGATGTGGTTTGTGGTGTTTCCTGTAGAACAAGAATTGCATTGCTTCCTAACCARAGGAGCCTATTTTTAAGCATTTATATACATTACAGTCAAGTTGAGTAACCTCCAGAAACTTGAATATATTATCATGCAATGGTGTGTGCTCAGCAAAAAAAGAGTGAACCTTACTGGGAACCAGCTTGAAACCTGCCTCCCCTCAAAAGTTCTACATCATCTTAGGTTTCACCTCTTTCCTAGTTGCAGCCACTTAAGGGTCTTACCTATCTGCTTTCTTCTTTTTAAATTAAAAGAGGCTGAGGAAATTGATCCATAGGAATGTCACAGAAGCTCCCAACAATCTGGAAGAAAAGGCCATTAGAGGGAGAAGAGCCTGTCTCTGGGCCCTTATCAAGCTCAAACAGAATGTAGTGCTGCTCAGGACTGCAGGAGCTGCTCACGGCTCTAACAGTACAGTTCTGCATAGCTGGGAACGTAGGCAAGTAAAGGAAGGCTGTCCAGGAGCTAATTATCAGGTGTGAAGTCTTGGGATGTGGTAGTCCAAGTTATGCTTTGTTCTTTGCTGCACATTTCCCAAGGTATTTAGTGTTGTTAACTCCATGACAGTTCTAGTGGGAAACACTTCCCCTGACTTGGCAGCTGTCGCATGCTAAGTGTATATACTTATTCTTCAAGGACATATTTTGGTAGGTAAACAAAGTGGCACAAGCTATTGAAGTGAGGAATGTTATTTAAGCACAGAATCTGTGGCTTTTACTATTTTTATGCCTTTTAAACTAGCATCTCAGATTTTTAGGTAAGAAAATTACAGTAGTCACTTACCAGGCAAGAACAACATGTTAACAGTAAGCCATGATTTAATGGTAATGAGGGAAGAGGATGTGGGAGCTAATCACCCTCCTATCAGCACCATTCCGAATTGCTCTGATAGCCTTCTAGCAGCTGTCTCCTTGTGCTTGCCTTCCCTTAGCAACGGGTGCTCCGAGCAGGCTGGGACTCCACAGTGCGGCAGTTTCCATGGCAAAGCGGATTATGAATGCGGCTAACGCCGCTCCTGTGCTCAGCTCCGCCTGCTCCTGCCCCGACTTGTTAAAAAACTTAAGGAAAGCCCATATTGGCCTTCTGCACTTGCAGAAAGTGAATGATTGTGCACATACAATCAATACAGATAATAAATACTAGAAATGTCTGCCTACCAGACAGAGTGTCTTGCTGGCTGCCAACTAACTAGGTGAAATAGGAGGTGAATATTCACTTGAGGGGAAAAAAAAAGAAAAAAAAAAAAAAAAAAACCACTGGTGACGGTCAGGACAGAGACCTCTGGATACAGTTTCTTTCTCAGCACTGTGGAAGATTTTTTTATTATTATTATCATTATTATTATTTATTCTAGGGAGAATGCTCACCCTGCTCAAACATTTGTGATTTTTGAAGATTACAATTTTGCCCTAAGTACTTGTTCTTCTATCTCTCTTCCTATTTAAAGTATAGCCTAGAAAATAAGTGTTTTGGGAAAAGAGCCYGAGTAAATTGTGCCTGTCATTCTCAATGTTAAAATATTGTGAGAGCCCCTTCTGCATGTGCACACCCCAGGACACCTTGACTTTCTTGGATTTTTCTCTTGCCTTCCTTGTATCTCTTGTCTGTAACTAGCATAGCTGATAGTACAGTGAATACTGTCTGCAAGACAGATGTTACTTTAGGCCCAACATGTCAGAAAGCCCTGTAACCCATGTCGTCCTGCACTGGAGGGTATTTTATTTTCTCCCCTTGCCCCCAGCATAGTCTCAAAAGGAAGAATCTGCTGAATCACTAACAATTTCGTCTTTCTTGTTACTCCCTAGAAATCTTCTGTTCAAATATATACTGCGTTGAAGTTGTTTTGGATAGATGTTTTATGGCCGTAACCATAAGTTGGCAGGACTATAAATACTGTGGCTGCTTATGATGGTTCACCGAGTAACATTTAGGGCATTTTAGCTTATGCTGTCTAATGGTGTGGCAGATATTAACACACTCATTAAGCATGACTTAGTAAGATATTTCAAAAGAGTAACTGAATAAGCTATTTTTGCTGTAACAGAATAAATGTTTGAAATTGAGTTCCAAACAAAGGTAAATGGTTTTCATGAAATGGCTTAAGTGAAGATCAAGGTACGCACATCATCTGGACTATGGAATAGGTTTTTAAATTCCATAGATTTTGTGGTTTACTTTTTAAAGTAATTCAGTCCTCCCTGATCAGAAAAGGAATCAAGCTGGTGACCAGGACAGAAACACTTGATTTCCACTCCACCCTGACTACCTTCCTCCCATTGAGAAACAAGTACAAGAATGTGCTCAGCTAAACCCTCCTGCAATAGGTATCAAGTACTCTATGGAGAGCTGCTTTTGGAAATTGAAGAAGGATTTTATGCTTTATTGATTTTTTTTTTTTTTTTCCTGACTAGAAAGGGATAAATGTGATTGATAGACCTTTGACAAAAACAACTGTTAGCACCCTATTCTCTTTTAAAAGATAGACTTTTTAAAGGCTTTTTTTAATTACCTCTCAGCTAAAGAGGTCCTTCCTATTTTAAACCTAACAGAACAATGATGTTGGTKGAACTGGGCCAGAGTGTAATTGGAGTAGTACATTTGAATATAATGCAAAAAATTATGGCATGTCAAGAACAGTCAAGTGGGTTTTTCTTGTTTTGGATTTTCTCATGACTGTAAACAATTGGGGCCAATCTGTCTGCAGTAAAAACTTGAGTTTCTTAGCTAATTCTGCCTGTGCTTTTCTATTGAATCTAGAATGACATTATAAATAGCCTCATATTTTACTATAGTAAAAATCTTACCTTACACCCTCACATCCAAAAATTGCCCTTCCTTTTATAAGGAAGCAGCAGATTTGGCAGAAAAAAMCCTTTCAAAGTAATATTAAGTGCTGAGTGTGTGTGGGGGGCGATTTGGGGTTTTTTGTTAACTGTGTGTATACTGAGAGCTGCTAGAATGTCTGTGCTCTACTTTTTCACTCTGGAATTAAGAAAAGATGTCGTTTATACAAATAGAGTCAATCTAGAGATAATTGTGACTATTTCTTTAAATCTTTGTTGAAAGGGGCATTCCACACTGTTTTTCCTGAAAGAGAGAGCCTTGTAATATATTCACAATATTCTTGGTTTTGTTTTCTTTTTAATTGGGATTTTTCAAACTATGTGAAATCCCAATAAATTTCAAACTTGAAATGACTGAAAGTTCCTTTATCTGGGATGTAGATGAAGTGCTTAAAGATGCATTTTAAGTATTAAAATGAAGTGTTTTGTCTGAGTGTTTCACTATTTTACAGTGGGAGAAAAAGGAAATAGGCTTTTTTTATTAGAGCTCTCTTTCAAAGAGCTGAACCCAAAACTTGGATTTGTATAAAGCTGCACATGGGAATAGTCACGCTAACAGATTTGACTTTCCAGACCTATTTGTTCCTTCAAGATCAATACAAGAGAGCAAGACTGCTTGCCAAATGATGCTCTTGTGCCCAAGGAAATGGCAGTAAGTGCCAGTAATGGCACTTGAGGAAGCCTTCTGTTTGCTCCTGGTAGGAAATTGCTCTCTGGCACAGGTCATGGTGCACATTGAGCAAACAAAGTTCTGAGGCTTTTTACTTCCTCTCTAGGCTACATGACAGGAACCCAAAACAAATAGTAGCGATATTTATTTATTTTTAATCTGAGCCCTGTTTCTTT